TAGCTGACATTAGATTAAATTATAAATCGGTTTAATATTATCATTATTATATTTAAAATGTAATATTCAATGCATTTCCTTTTAAAAGCCATTTGGAAATTAGGGCCTTTTGGGGGACACCTGCTGGTTGTTGCTGGGAGTACAGTATTTAAGACTCAGGTTTAGACTGGCTGCCTTAAAATACTTTCCCACAACATTACAGGACGATGAGCAAAAAAGTTGGAACAAGTCAATTATATCAGCTTTTAAGGAAGATAATAAGAGAAAAGCAGAAAAAATAATGTAAGAAAATGGGAAGGAAAATAAGTTGTAAAATATTTTGGTTAAAAAATAAGGAAACAAATAAACACGCAATGTTGGATATATTTAGGGGGTAAAGAAATTTAACTAGGGCATACAAACAACTATATGCTCACACATGTATCCTAAATAAAACATCATTTTTTAAAATAATATTACCTAAATGTTTCAGCAAAAGCGTTTAGCCCTTAATTACAAGGGCGGTGTTTGTACAATTTGATAAATTGATTTTTTGTATTCTTTCTTCAAACATCTACTATATCTAAAGGATTCTGATAAGCAGATATATAGATCTCCAACAAATCCTGTCTAGATAGCTAAACTTCCTTTAAACTTAATTAGATTAATTGACTTAAAGTCTGAAATGGAATTCAAATGTGCATCAACTAAGTATCAGCCTGATAATTTACCAGTTTATGTTACTTTATAGAATAAAGTAGTTTGCTCAGCACCAGAACTGATAAACTGAAGATAAATATTGCATTTTATGTGGTTATTTAAATATAGTTTCTTTTAAGTATATTTTAAATATGACTAGAATTTTTAAACAAGGTTATGTCCAGGTTTAGAGCCAGTGTGGCAGTATAGAATTGTGTAGGGTAACTTAGGGCAAGTTATCTGAACTAAATTATTGAAATAAACTATAAAACCTAACTGAAAAATGCTTAGTTTATTTACTATTAAGCTCATGAGATACAAACTATGGGGGAAATTGTGTCCCTTGGTGAACTACTTTATTTGTTGAGAGTTTATCCAGAACAAATATAGCATAAAAAAGACAAAACAATCTAAAAATACAGTCTTCTTTTCAGGCTGAACTACTGTGCAGATGTGAGTGTTTCTACCTGCAGCTCACTGCATTAATGGGCTTATTCAAATGAACTTGAACTGCTCTCTCACATTGCACATCAAATTTTCAAGCAAAAATTCAATCAGTTCCATGGGTAACATGGGTGCCCTCTTAAAAACTATACTTTAAAGTCTTTAGATTCTCTTACTGTGAGAAAATTTGAAAATATTTAATAAAAAAAATGCATTTCAAGTTGTTTTTAAATACATAAATATTGACAGATTGACGAAGGAAAGCCCATGTTACCCTGCTTGCATTTCAGGTGAGCAAACGGCACCACAGACCGACGAGAGAAAAAAAGGTCAATAGAGGGAGATTTAAACATCAAAAACAGAAGATTAAGTTAACGGAAAAGGCTCAGAAAGAAAAGAAGAAAGGTAAGAAAGGAAGGAGAGGAGGAAGCATTCCAAAGAAAGAGAAGAGAAATAGATGCAATCCATAACTGACATCCTCTGCAAGGCACCACGCAGAGCAAACCACTACCAATCTGTTCATACTAGTTCTACACATACCAAAGTAAAATGTAAAAAAATCCAGACATGGTTTAAGAAGCACTCACAGGAAGCTGGGGAGAATTAGGGACCCAGCAGTGGGAGAATATTTTCCTTTCAACAGCTCCTCAAAACAAATTCAGCTAATCTAAGTCAACGGATACCCAGCAGAGTGAGGAAGTGGGCACACCCAGATGGGATGTTCTTGCCTTTTAATTATTTACTAAAGAAAATGTGATAACATTTAAAATGCTAGTCTGTCACTGCATTTCATTTTGCACTTTAAAAAAGCCTTTCTTTTGCTCTGTTTAAAAAAAAAAAGACTTGGACCTGTGTGAGGAATGAAATGAAAAGACAGGCTAACATTTGAAATGCTTCGGTTCTTGTTCAAAACAGTCAGTTCTCTCAGGGTTGGAGTGCGGAGGGTTTCTTAAAATCAAGATAAAAAAAACAAGCGTACTTGGGATAATTGTTGCCCAAATTTTTTAAATCCTCTAACTGAAACAAAAAAGATTCTGTGCATGCTTTTAGATTATACATAAAAAAAAAAAGATTACTCATTCAAGGAACCAATCAATCAATTAATCTCTCAAACTGACCAAATCAGTCAAATAAAGTGCACTATTCAAACCAAAGTGTGCAGTGCAACATCAGTGAACTGTATAGATGACAAAGGTGTATATCACAGGCCCAGTAAACCTTGGCATAAAGTAGGCTTTTTATTCTTTTAAAAGGTACACAAACTATTAATACAATCATATGCTTATAAAGATTATGCTCATTTAAGTTATTATTTCACTGAAAATGCAGCAATCTCCTGCAAAGATTGCTGTTGGAAAGCTGAATAAAGCATCCCATATCTCATATTGGAGTTCTAAATGACCCTGTGTCTTTTAAAGGCAGCCTAGTCGACCTCTCATGGGTAAAAATGGATTCGCTTTCTAAAGCCATGAGACAAAGTGCTAAGTCCGTACACTCCTGGGATAAATCAACCTTATTTGTATGCAAAAGCCACTGAGGTAAAACATGTTTTTCTGCGTAGAGGAAAATGAATGTTCAGTTCTTGGTCCTTATCTTAAAAGAAATTTAAAACTGAGAATATGGAGAATATGGGAGGATCTCCACCTAGCGACTTACATATGTCTTTGGTTTATTTTTTTCATTGCTGAAGGCTCAAAAGTTAGAATAGCTCAAAATAATATTAATTAGGCTACAGGACTAGAGCCAAATGATCACCTTTCTACATTCCTACTCAGCCAGTCCCACTGCTGACCATAGAACCAATAATAAAAGTCATGCTGGCATTTCCATAAATGACATGGCGTACTTCATAAATCCGTTTATGAATCCAATACTTCCTCATATATGTATATGAGGATAAAAGAAACCAGTAGCCCTTTTACTCATTTAATCTTCAGGTTATTCTGGTAATTTAGGAGTTAGGAGAGTTTCAGATCCTTAAGTAAAAATTGAAAATATCCTCCCTTGTACCTCGACAAATAAAAAGGCCCTGTTATGCCACCTTTGAATATGCCATGCTATACAGTGTCCATCATGCCAGGGTAATATTTTGATATTCCCAGTGGCAATGATGAAAGATAGTTTAATGTGTAACCAAACCGAGTGCTGAAAAAAATGCAGAAGGTTTCTATTGACAAATGCAAAAATCTTTGATGCTACCAACGCTCAGCAGACCGAGGCGTGTGCACCTATCTGAGACAGCTTCAAATGGGAAGGAATCTAAACAGAAAATTGGGAGTGAGAAGCGGCGAACATTTAGGAACAACTGTTATAGAATATGAAGATATGTTCATAGTAAACTGGGGGGGCAGGGATTTTTCTTGTTTGATCTATAAGTTTTAATGGCCGTTTACTGCATTCAAACACTTGGTCATTTGAAAGCTTGTGAAATAGGAATCAGCACTCAGTCTGTTTGTGTACGAGGGAATGGCAGATCAGGCAAGGCAAAAGAAGGGAGGGAGGGAGTAGGACTACTTACGTTAACCTCAGTGATCGCTATGTCAACAATGCTACCCACAACTATCAAGGCATCAAAAGTGTTCCATGCATCAACAAAATAATGCTGTGTAGGGGATGGAAAGAAAAGGGAAAACAACAGAAGAACAAGAAAAGGACAGAACATAAGACACAAAAAAAAGATGGAAACGACAGAAATCAAAAGGAGAGAGGAGAAAAAAAAAAAGATAAAACATTACATACAGGAGCATTGGAGTTCTGAGGAGGAGGAAAGAGGGGAAAGAATCAACAAAATTCAACAGCAAACAAAAAAAAAAGGGGGCAGTCTGAAAGAGATGGACAGCAGAGGAGGAGCAGCAGCGGCTGGTCATGCTTGTCCATGAGAGGAGATGTCATCAAGAACCACAGTCAGGAACAAAATCACAACAACAATGAAAAAGTGCCCTCTGCTGGAGTTAAAAAGCTGTGTGAGACTGTTTATGATTGGTCAGTGAGTTAGTTCAGTTAGTTAGGGGTATGTGCCACAATACAACCAAAAGGAAATAAAATAAATCTAAAACCCAGCAACATTTCGAACATAGTGGGAAAAAAAGGAGAACGCAATTGATAAACCCTTTAAAGCTGAACCCTGGCTGCAAAAGCTTCACCTTTTTGTTTGGGAAGCCTTAAAGCTAGGAGAAGGTGAACGAAGGGGGTCCCCCTTAGTGGCAATGGCCATCTTGGATTTATAGTGTGAAGGAAGAGGAGGAGGAAGAAGGAAGGAAGAAAAACAGGCTGACAAAAGAGACAGAAACAGCAGCCTGACACAGACGAAGTCAAGAAGAGGGGAAGGAGAGTCGAGAAGATACATGAGACAAGGACAGGAGGAGGAGAGACAAAGAGAGCGAAAAGGGGGACATCGTACTTACGTTGATCTCACTGAGAATGACGTCTATTATGCTGCCAATTACGATGAGGAAATCAAACACATTCCAGGGATCACTAAAGTACCCCTACACAGGATGAGGTGAGCAAGAGGAGGGTGAGAAAGGTATGTTAGAAGGAAAACAACATCTGCTGCCATTTCGCAGCCCCCCTTAAGGTGGTATGAAAGTGTACAGTGGGCTGAAGGAAGTTGAAAAAAATCATCTAGGCTTGATGTGGCATCACAAAAAGATTATTATTCTTAGATTTTTAGGATGGTGTGTTAGACTGCTGTTATAAACTGAGCCTTACAAAAGTACAAAACCCCCTAACTTATTCATCTTTATCATGTTACAAGTACCATATTTAATGCAGTTTTCTATGTGATAGTCCAATAGATTCATTATGAACATAAATGCATAACAGTCATTTAACACTGAGATTTAACTCTGCCATCCTGACACATGACTAGACTTTGCTGCTTTTTATGAAAGGTGAACCAAAATTATATTCTTATTTCATTTTCTGTGTTTATTTTAATTCTTAACTAGCTTCCTGTTGCTTTTTTCCCAACCTGCTTTTGGACATCTATGCAATAGTTTGGCGGTGAATACGCCGCTGACCTATTCACCTATGCTATGACAGTAGCACTCTAAACAAAACCCCTGAAAAATATCCCTAAATCTAGAGGTTTTAGAGGTTTTAGAAAGTAAGAGTCAATTCCACAGTAAAATTCCCAATCACAGTTCCCATCAGTCAAAGATAAATTGGAACTTTATCATATTAAATTGGCTAATATCTAACAAACTAAACAAATAAGGGAAGGAATAATTAAACATTAGAAATCTTTACAAACTGGCTTATATTCATAAACAAAAACCATACAATGAAGTAAAATAGTCTCAAAAATCAATAAGATAATAAAAATGGTACATGTGAAACATAAAGACAGTCTTTTGTTCATGCAGGCAGTAAAAAACCTGTCGAAAAACAATTAATTAGACAGAATACAGCAACTCTTGTCCGGAGAGGATTTTACTCTGGAGCCAGTTCCATGAAGACCTGCAAGGGAAGCCTAAGCTTTTTCACAATAAGTTCAGAGCGTCAAAGCAAACACAGCAATAACTTCCTAGCACACATTTTTGCAGTGGCTTTGCAAGGATCTGTCCTGCTAAACCAATCACTTAGATTTGACAAAGTCATGTAAATATTTCCAATTCTACTGAGGGAAGTTTTGCTAAATGTCAATTGGAAGTAAATAATTATTTTGGAGGTTGTCATTATGAAGATCCATTTTACACACACATTGTACTTCACAATAATAAAAAAGTGTTCACACCCCCTAAATTAATGTGGATGTTGGTGGCTTAAAATACATTGAGACTTGAATTTTCTGCACAGGCTAGATCATTAAACAATACAACATAATATTTTCAGTTTTGGAAACCAAGCAAATAAAGGTTCAGAATTTATGAACCTTTTAGTTTTGAATAAACATAAACTTAACCTTAAAAAAAACAACTTTAGTGCTAGTTAAAGCATTTCACATTAAGCTGAAATTTAAATGCTTAATGTGTTTTTATATGATGCAAAATACATGTAATTGAAGATATTATTTTAACAATTGTACATTTGAAACCTAATGTTGTTAACTCAAGAGTTAGAAGTATAGTCTATCATGTTTAAGCTACTGATAATGTGTGTAAGGGTTTTTCCCATTAACGCTCCTGTAATTGAGCGAAACATTCCCATCTGTTACTGTTTGAGTTGTTAATACACGAGGGCATTATTAGCTTATCCAATGAATGTATACAGCTTCATAGCAACTACAGTTAGGTAGGAGGGGAGCTGTGAGATTAAAATATGCCATCCACTTCTACTCTACTTTTCATTATGATGGTATTGTAACTAAAAAAAGAAATTAGCAGGAGCAATAACATTGTTGCACAAGAAAGACGGTACCACAATTCAATGCTTAAAGAAGAAACATCTTAAATCTCATCTTATTTAGTTTACTTATATTTATATTACCATATAACTTATATCTCAAGTTTACAATTATGTATTATAGAACTTACCCTGGGCTTGAAGGCGATTAGTTTTAGGATCATCTCTACCGTGAAAAGTCCTGTGAAGAGCATGTTGAGGATGTTCATTGCATCATTGAAATTTTTGGTCTGCCCATGATGCTGCAAAGACACACAGCAGAGTTGGCAATATCCTTAAAGAGGAGAATAACTCTGGCATCATTGCTAATTTCAGCACCCTCCAGAACTACGGCTTATTTAAATAGAAAGCCTACCTTTGCAATAGTTAGCATAATTTCAAATTTGCCCCTTAGTTCCAGTAAAAGGGACATTTTGGACCATTCCACGCTACCAACATTGTGGGAACAGTTTGGAGGTGGTCCCTTCCTCTACCAACATTATGCACCTGTCCACAAAGCAAGGGGTCCATAAAGACTGGCCTGCATATAGTCCTGACCTCAACAGAAAACCTTTGGGAAGAATTAGATGGAGACTGAGGGTTGGGAGTTATAATAAGTTTGAGTTGCCTTAAGTTTCATATTAACTTAAGCTTTAAAAAACTTTAGTGCTAATTAAAGCAATTGTTTTTTTTATATAAACAAAAAATTTGGAGTAGTAGCGTCACGTTAAAGATATCAGCACAATGTTTCTTCTACAAAAATATAAATAATTTTCACATTAAGTTGAAATTTAAATGCATTTTGTGTTTTTCTATGATGCAAGATACTTGTAATCAAAAGCCTTATCATAGCATTATCATCTAAGATTTGAAACCTGAGCTGTTAAATCGAGAGTTAGAAGTATAGCCTATCATGTTTAAGCTACTGATTATGTGTGTAGAAATGTTTTCCATTAGCACTCCTGTAATTAAACGACACATTCCCATCTGTTAATGTTTGAGTTGTTAATACACAAAGGCATTATTAGCTTGACTGGCCTGCATAGAGTCCTGACCTCAACCCAACAGAAAACCTTTGGGATGAATTAGAGTGGAGAATGAGAGCCAGGGTGGATCAACGTCACATTGAACCCCTATTGATTATGATTGAGATTTCACTTTAGTTCATATGTGAGTCAAAGGAGGCAAGCAAACAATTTTAAGAGATATAGTGTATGTTTCCTGAAACCAAAATATGATGTCAAATATTAGTAATATTTGAGCAAATTGAGACAAATTGAACAAAGTGAGAGAGAAGTCGGGGCATAGACAGACAGGGACAGAAAGAAAATAGCCCCTCTTTTGAAGTTGACTGTATCTATAGTCAGCAAACAATAAATCGTGTAAAATAATTAGCCCTCAACCTTTACTTACATTCCCACCATGTACAGAACTACGACAACAAGGAACAAAAACTATTAAATGTTGAGGAGTAATGATAGAAAGTAGCTTTTTTTTCTAGGAGCAGACATGTGGAGTTTGCTTAACGATACTCCTGCTTAAACTGGAACCATGTCGTCAACCCATTGACGTTGAGTTCGCCTTTATTTGCAAGTAAAACTGTAAGCAAAAAAAAAAGGTGAGTCTGAAGTCAAACAAGGATGAATATTTAGGAAAGCACTTCTAGATCCCTAATTCTAATGGTAATGGATCTGTGACAATAACGACATTTTCTTTTTTAAAAACCATAGGAACAACACTAAAGCATAGTAAAAAAAAAATAGCCCATATTTGGCTTTAAAATTCATACTCATTTTGGTCCCTAATCCAAATTTTTATGAAAATCTACAGGTTGAGCAGAGGCGAAGTTCATAAAGATCTTAGATGACAAATAATCTAGAGAAAGTATAGCATTAGTACATTGGTAATAAGACTTCCTCAACTGGGATTCTTTTTCCAGTCGGACAATGGACTCAAATTAGAACAGTTTTTCTTTTTGTTTCAGAATGAGATTATATAACTTCCATTAAAGATCAAAATTTTCTAAGGCATATTAATCTTTATCAAGTTTGCCGGACATTCTGGAGAGTGCTGTGTGTTCAAGAGCATGTGTGACAAACCTGCATGGCCAGACAGATAGTGTTGAGGAGGATGAGTGTGAACATCAGGTACTCAAAGTAGGTGGAGTTGACCACATACCACACTTTGTACTGGTAAGGGTTCTTGGGAATGTAGCGACGCAGCGGACGAGCCTTCAAGGCGTATTCCACACATTGACGCTGTGACACACATCCACATAGGTTAGCTTTTACATTGACTTGCATGACAGTTTTCTGATTGCATGTGTTTTTGTGATAACAAAGCTTTCATATTCTCTAAAATGTTGATCTACACAACTGTTATGTTAGTACAAGTGTTAAAGTGCCCACGAAATATACCAAAGACTACCTGATTCTTGTCCAGCTCACAGTTCTTATACTCCTGCTCTCCTTGCTCCTGGAATGTGACGATGACGAAACCGACGAAAATGTTCATCATGAAAAAAGCGATGATGATGATGTAGATGATGAAAAATATAGAGATGACCACGCGGTAGTTGTAGATTGGACCAACATCCTCAGTGTGAGAGTCTATGGCTCGGTACAGTAACCTAACAGACAGCAGAGTAGGAGAAAAACATAAAAAGTGGGATTTAATTGTCAGAGCGGACGCACACAGGGACAAATTAAACTCGTCTTGCAAAAGTATTTGTACCTTTTAAGACTTTTTTACTCAATGATACTTTATAAGCACACACCTCCCTTTCTGTCTATTCAGTGTATGTTGATATTGTTTGTAACAGACCAATGCAAAGAAGAGCATTACTGTTAAAGAATTGCCTGCAGAAGTTCCAAAATTTTAAGTAAAAAAAAACATTATTTAACAAATAGCCCCATAAGGACCCCAAATACAAGCACACTGGTTAAGAAAAAGGCTCTAGAGCAGTTACAGCAGTTTGGTTATTAATCAATATGTCAAGCCGTGAACATCTTACACAGTCTTGCAAAGTTCTCCTGAGAAGCAGCCAAAAGGGCCAAAGGTAGCTCCAAAGGAGCAGCAGAGCTCCTATAGCTTTGTCGGAAGAATCTGTCTGCAGGAAAACTATTAGTGCTGCACTCTATGAGTCTGACCTTTGTAAAACAGTGGCAAGAAGAAAGCCATTCATCAAAAAAGCTAAAAGAATTCCTGTCGTAATTCATGTAGTGAAAACAGCAGAAAATTTGGAAAAATGTGTCCTGGCCAGATAAGACTAGAGCACACAAAGGTAACAACCTGAGTACCACATCCCCACTGTAATACTTGGTTGCCTGGGTTTAAGTCCAGACCTTAATCCAAATGAGAGCCTTTGGCAAGACTGAAGTGACATCCAAACAATGTTGAATGAGGTATCCGCAATGAAAAGGCTCAAGTGTAAAGATGAAACTGCCTTACGTTGACAAAGTTCAAATAGGCATTGTTACATTTATGCAATGTTAGAGGGTGGCACACTAGCACTACCACACAAATGAAGAGGGTAGAAGAAGAAAGGGAGAAGTAAGATGTAAACAATGAAAGCAAAGAAAATAAAGGGCTGACAACAAATAGTAAAGGAGCAGCAAGTAGTAAATGTAAAATCCACAGTAAATGCAATTGCTTCTAAAATGTAGCTTCTAAAACAAAGCTGCAACACCAAAGTCTGTTGATTTTGGTGGTTGTTTTGGTACATGAATGTTAAGGGTGGTGAGGGCTGCATTGGCTTGCATGTGCAGACACACCAATGTGTAGCCAGTTATGTGTTTAGAGGTAAATATGATGGAGACGCTGTTGGGAGCTATGTCAAACTTACTTAGGAGCTGGTTTCAAATTTTGTTGATTTTGCAGCTTTTTCATCATTATTGGCAAAGAAGCTTGTCACATACACTCTAACACAGCTTTGTCTTGAGGGGGCCTAAGGTTACACTATCTTTCAAAAGAAATGGCTGATAAATTTAAGCCTATGGATATGCAAGGCAGGAAGAGATCCCCATAAACAAACACAACCATAACTGCAGTAAATATAGTTGTACTGTATTGACTTACAAAAAAGAGAAAAGAATGTTATAAAACAAATCTCATTAGAGAACTAAAAAAAATATTTGCAATCTATGGTAGAAAATAAGTGTTTGGTGACTCACAAACAAGCAAGATGTCTGGCCTAGATAAACCTTTGTCTTTGAGAAACTTTTTTTTGTCATTCACTCATTACCCTTTTACCTGTCCACAGCTTAAACAGTAAGACTCCGAACTCAAGGATAGACTTAAAGAGCTGTCAAAGGACAAAAGAAAGAAAATTGTAGACTTGCACCTGGTTGGGAAGAGTGTATCTACAATAGGCAAGTAGGTTGGTGTAAATAAATTAGCTGTGGGAGCAATTCTAAGAAAACAGAAGAAATGCAATATCACTCATAATCAAACTTGATCTGGGGTCCCATGCAAGATTTCAACCCTTTGGGTGAAAATTATCATAACAACAGTGAGCAAAAATCCCAAAACCTCAAGGAGAGTCCTGATATGTGATGAACAGAGAGGACAAATGTAGCAAAGGCCACTATCGGTAACACACTACGCCGAGAACGACTGAAATCCTGCAGTGCCAAATGTTTCCCTGTCTATGCCAGTACATGTCCAGGTCCAACTGAGGTTTGCCTGAGAGTATATGGATTATCTAGAAAAGGATTGGGAGAATATCATGCTGTCAATGTTTTGGCACTTACTCAAATTGTCATGTTATGAGGATGGAAAACGTGGTTTTGCATCCTAAGAACACCATGCCTACTACAAAGCATTGGGTTGGTAACTAAAAGCTTTGGTGCTCTTTTTTTCTACAAAGGGAAGAGGATTCGGGGGCCATATATAATAAGAATTTAAGCCAAAACCTCTTTTCATCAGTGTAAGTGTTGAAGATGGAAAGTGACTGGGTATTCCAGCATGACAATGGGTCTCATTAACACTACTTGAGCAATGAAGGAGTGGTCCATTAAAACAATTTCAAGGTCCTGGTTTGGCCTAGCCAGTATCCAGAACTCAACCGCATAGAAAACCTGTGGAGGCAGTTAAACGTCTGTGTTGTCCAGTGACAGGCCTAAAACATTACTGCTCTAAAGGAGATCTGCAACAGAGGAATAGCAAACATTCGGACTACTGTGTGTGCAAACCTGGTGAAGACTTACAGGAAACGTTTGACCCCTGTGATTGCCAACAAAGGTTATGCAAAAAAATACTAAAATTTTTGGCATTAACTAAATACTTATCGACTATATTTGAAAAAACAAAAATATTTGAAATTCCTTTAATGTGATTTCCTGTTTTTTTTGTTTATATTTTTGATGTGAAAATATGTGAAAAAAGTTCAAGAGGTACAAATACTTCCATAAGACAATGTAAGTGCATAAGAAGAGACACACCCTGGCCACCCCTCAAATGTAGACACAGCAAACAAAGCCATCATTCCCTGCAGGACATCATCAAAGTTGAAATCGCTGTTCCTCCACATTCTCAGGGCTTTTTCTGGTTTCCCTACATCCCCATCTTTATACATGATGTAGGAACCTCTGAAAACACAAAAACATCAGACATATATGATAGCTGTCCAATAGTTAGAGTCTAAGAGAAAAAAAATAAACACTTGGTAAAAGAGAGTTCTACTACCTGCACTCTGCCTGAGTCTGTTTGGAGCTGTCACTACAGAAGAAGAACTTGCCCTGTTTGAAAGATGCATAGATTTAATTTTTTTTTCCTAAAGCCCTTAAAAACTGTTTGCTTCTCTTCTGTTTTCTTTACCTTGAATAGTTGCACTCCAATACAGGCGAACATGAATTGGAGCAACGTAGTGACAATGACGATGTTGCCGATGGTCCTGATGGCCACAAAAACACACTGCACAACATGCTAAAACAAAACACACAACAAAGATCAAAGTTAGTGTCTGGATTTGTCTCTCTTTAAACTAGGACTATATTTTGTGTTTTCTCTGTGAACCTTTAGTCCTTTGGCTCTGTTGATGGCTCTCAGCGGTCTCAGCACTCGCAGGACTCTCAGGATCTTTACAACATTAATTGCACTGGACCTGAAGAAAATCATGTGATAAGCTAATACCCACTCAAACAAACCAAGCACATCTTACTGCAGATAAATGCCTGCATTTTGGAGGAACTCACATAATGGGTTATAGACATTTTTTGCACAAAAAGATGACAAACACACAAAAAAGGGTGATCAAATTAATAATATGGATAATTGATTTTAAAAAAATGTTTATACTGTGACCTAACAAGATAATTATGAATTATGAAATTTGGAAATATTCTTAGCTCTGATCTCAGATGATAAAATACAAATGTTCTGTTACTTTACAATGAAATGACCATTATGGGTTTTATCCATTATTCTCTCTGACATGAATGTTTCACAAGAGACTTCAGCAAAAGTCCCTATATAACACACAAACACATAAAAACACAGATCAAATATGGACAAGAACACACAAGTACACCATGGAGAGACCAAAGTAAAGACACACAAGACGTTTTACAAGCAAACAGAGAAATTCTGTGCTGTAAAAGAGTGTCAGTTCAAGCCGACGGTCAAACAGTGTGAACCTTTGAAGGAGGTGCTCAAAAAGGAAAGGCTTGTACATACTATAAAGGAACCAAATTTATATGTTGACATTTTGAGTTTATCCAATATGTGATTAGAAAAATCAAGAACCGGGTTACCTTTATTTAAAGTTAAAATCAACACAAATACATATATAAGAATAAAATGTATTTACTTTAATTTAGAGATAGGACTTAGCTAATCCAATATCAATATCAGACCCAGCATCAACATAGATTTTAAGTTGGATGTGGAAAAGGCCAACAACCCAATCATGGATTTTTTCTGTTGCTGGAAGTCATGTTTGAGACTAATTTGACTGATGGAAGTGTAACCTTTGCAGCCTGCTACACACATTATGACTAAAATATAAACAGCTGTCTTATAATCCTGAATGTAAATGGTTGATGAGCAGAATATTAGTAGATGCATTGCCAGATTTTCTGAAATACTTAAAAGTTTTAATCTGTAGGCAAAATGGGGCCACATTTATACACACATAGAGACACATGTTACAGTTAGCAGTCATAACTTCATTAGTCAAGCTAACTGCTAAAAAAAGGGACAATTGTATTTAAAAAGTTATGTTTGACTGACACTAAAAAAGGTCAACACATCTGTGAGTATTTCTTTCAGCTGTTTATTTTCTCATAATGCTGCTTTGCTTCTGCTAATTCAATTATTTTTACTGGGAAATTTGGATGTTGCAGAGCAACCTCAGGTTAATTTTTCTAATTGGCTAAAGGCACAACTTTTTGAAACTGTTGTTACCTCCTCCTGAAACCAGCAGCACATGTTAATTTGCTGATCTTTATAATAATTTTAGAATGATAAAACAAACATAAATACATTTTTACTACACTGTGTTGCAAAAAGCTGTTAGTACACTACATTACACCACATTTTGCACCAACAAAAGCAATAGAGTTGAAAGTTCTAGGATCCATCTTTAGCTTATTATGGAATCATGCATCTTTGTTCAGATAAAGAAATTTGTAAAACCCTTACTAGGTTGGCTGAGAGCAAAAGCAGTACTGCAAATATTCAATTAAAACACAATTTAGATACCAAGATTAGATAAGTACTAATCTATCCTTTTGAAATATTAGAGGAATTCAAAATGTCAACATACATTTTTAAAAGGGTGACATCTTAGGTGGCTAAAGGAGTGATTTAGAGAGAAACGTTATTTTTGAGAAGAGTAAATCGAATAAAAACACCCGTTGTGCAACTCTTTACAGAGGAAGGAAAAAAAGTTTGAAAGCAGTTAAAGGCAGTTTCTGTGGAGTGGGATGTCATCAGCCACATATCACAGTCAAACAAGCTGTGAGGATATATTGAGTTGTAGCACATTCTTTAAAACAGTCAAAGCATTTGATTTATAACGGTTTAAGATGTTGGCTGAGTTCAGTGGGCTCACAGGGAAGAAGAATACTATTTACCAACCACCTGATGATAAGAAGTACTCTATCCATCTAAAAGAAAAGCAAACATACAAAATAAAACCATAAGATTTAAATTTAGAATTCAGCAAGGATGCTAAAAAACATAAATGTCCTAATGTGTTAGCTATTTTTGATTAGACCACACAAAAATCCAATTTGCCATAGATATTATACAAATAACTCTTCGCTATAACTTCTTGAACGCTTTCAAGTTTTGTCATGTTGCAGCTCCCACTTCTGCATGCAAGGAGATTACTCTCTGGAGAAACAAAACCGGGAACTGGAGGGAAGATGATTCAGAGTTAAAGAAAACCTTTTTTTTTTTTTTTCAATGTTATTACCTTAAAGGGAACCGCAATCTACTGGCCACAAATGTAAGATATTTATTTATTATAATTTATCAGTAGGCAGGGGATGTAGTTGAGATCAAGATGTTTCAAATCTTGATTTTTCTTGAATTTCCTTAAAATTCAATCATTTACAAAAATTAAGGTAAACTGAATAGAAACAGGGGCGTACTATAGAAACTGAACAAAATCACGAAAACAAAGTTTTCTTTAATAAACTGGCAAAAAATGTAATTTTATGGGAAAAAATATGTAGTATAAGAATGTATACATGGCTTTACACCCCCTGTATTCTGATGCCACAAAATAACATTGAAGGTACATCTAAAAATATCATAAAAATGTAAATATTCATGTCCTTTTTAGAAAGAAAAAGGCTTATTATAAAGATTTATCAGATATGAAGTGACCTTTTTTTGTCTTTATTTCTTGCAACTCTTACCCTTTTTGCTAACAGTAGGTTTACAAGTAGGTTTATCCATATCTATATTATATATCTATATTATTGTCATGGTTTTGGTTCTGTTCAAGATTTATCTTTGCATTTTTCATTGGTTTAATATCCATTTTGTGTTATTCTAGTTATCTTTGATTGTATTTGAGTTATTTGAGGTACGTATTTCTTGTTAGCCCTCTGTTGCCGTCTGGTGTCAGTCTAATTTTCCCTAGCTCCCTTCTAGACTCCTCAGTCCACACCTGCTCCCAATCTGCTGATTAGCCTGGTCTTTGTTTTTGTCTCCCATATATAGACTTCCCACTCAGTCACTGTTTGCTGGTTCATCATCATTTCTTCCCCTTCAAGTGAGTTTTCTGTGTCTTTGTGGATCTTGTGGATTTTTGCTTTGGTTGCCTTTTTTGATATTTAAATCTGCAAGAAACCAACTTCAGCTTCAGTCTCTGCAATTGGGTCCTCCTCTCAAACCTCCACCCACCCTGACAAATATAACTCTTAGAGATGTCAACATATTAAGCCCCAAGAAATACCCTTCAATTGGTACTTGACACATAACTTGACATTTTATGAAATTTTAAGGGGCATAAACTACTTTATCAAGACACAGTTCAGGATTTTTATCAGCAATTTGTTTTTGTTCTGCTCCATAGGGAAAATAAAGCAACTACGGTATGTGTATTTGCATTCACCTAGAACTGACTAAAGAAACAGACGTGCCCCACAGGAAAAAGCGTGCTATTTTGTAAGCACTAAAGGCACAATAAAAATGCAGCATCATCACAGTTAATTCAGCTGTGATATATTTCTGAAAAATCCCACACACTCACACACTACCTTTAACAGGCAAAAACCCACTGAGTTTAACATTCACGTGTAATTTCTATAGCCCAGGAGAGTTCACCTTTATTCAGAAACAGGAGAGATGAATTTGATCTATTAACTTAATAAAAGGGATGATCGTAATATGACAGGTCAATTCATCTTCAAGATAATTTACCTGCTGGAACACATTTTGTGGTCAAAACTAATTATGCAGCTCCCTGTAAAATTCATATTATGACATAAATTAAGCATGTCATGATTGTTCTTCTTAAAACATCCAAACATGAACAATATATTTTACAGGACTTTTTTCCAGCTTTTTCTTTTCTATATCTGGTTTTATGTGAGGAAAACGAAACTCTCCAAGATCATAGAAATATCAAATCAAAACAGTGACAGCTTTAAGGTGAAGATCTAATCAAGGGGTTATTAACACAGACTAATGTGGACTTACGTCGAGAAGTCTAGTCTATTAGGCATTAGAGACAGAGAGTGTAGCATAGCATATTAAACATCACAACAATTCAATGAGTTATTTGATTAGAAGCAAGAAACAAGTAGCAGAAACCATCCATTTAATACAAATCACAAAGGGGTAGACGTTCCAAAGTGATGTGTGACATAAGTCAGTGAAGTGTGAACCGTGGCACAGTTCCAAAACTCAAAACGTCAGACTACTAAAACTATGGTGAATTCACAATACAACCCATGCAGTCGTCTTCAATTTTTCGTGAGGTTCTTTTCAATCAAACAATACAGCAAAGTATAAAATTTAACATTGCTTTCAAAATGATGATGAAGGTATTCTACATTTAAGCATGCAAAGTAAAGGTAGATGATGCACTTACTGTATCCCAGAAGAAATGAGAGAAACGCTGACCACTACCAAGTCCAGGATGTTGAAATAGTTTCTACAAAATGAACCTTTATGGAGGAAAGCTCCATATGCTGTCATCTGCAAATAAACACATCATAAAGGTGTTCTAAAATGACAATAACTATTTGGATTGAGTGTTCAGTAAAGAGTAACAATTAAATCATGCAGATCTTGAAGGAAATTTTGCTTCAGAGTAATTAGAGTAAATACAGAATCAGTACAATACTATTTGCTATGTGAGAAAGAAAAATCATGAATTGACTTAAGAAAAACCTAGGACTGCGATTACTTAAGAAGAATCTGTCTGAAAATCTGGAGTAGAACAAAATATCCTAAAAGCAGCACATCTTTGTCCGTAGAAATGTAAAATTATCAACATGTTTTTCAGTCTGGGGCAGGTTATAAAGCAGTTTCTTTAACTTTGAGACCTTACCCAAACAAAATAAGAGCCACTCTCCACAAATCTAGGATAAACCTTCCCAGGCTTAATTTACTCTAAGAGCCTATAAATGACTCATCCAAGATGTCATAAAAGAGCCCAAAACAACATCCATAGACTTACATGTCTTAGTTGTCTTAGATCTGACTGGGAAAAATGGCTTCTGTTGGAAGGTTCCCAAGCAAAGTTATGCTGTGGCACAACTTTAAATGAATGTTTATACATTAAAACCTGCCAGTTGGCTTAAAGCAAAATTTTAAAAGAAAAGTGGGACAAAATTCTACCATGGAGATGTTCAAGACTTCTTACCAGTTATAGCAAAAGTTTCATAATAGTTTTTACTGGTAGGGTTGTTCTAACAAGTTTACTTTTAAGGGGTAACTACTGTACATTTCAACATAGGGCCAGGTGGATATGAAAAGCGTTCAACTTTTTCTTAATAAAATCAGAATCTAAAAACTGCCTTTATATTTACTAATATAAAATTTAAAATGAGTGTTACAGAATGCAGACACTGTTTTTAGAGATGCAGAATTTTTCTGTCAGACAGTTTTACAAATGGCTGTAGTCTAAATAGTCCAGATGTTGATCATCATCAGTGAACAATACCTTAAGAATGATCTCAATGGTGAAGAGTCCAGTAAAGACATGATCTGCATAGCCCAGGATCTGAAAAAAACAGCAGGAAGTTTGTTTTTTTAGTATGTCATGTTACTAAACAATAAACTTAAAGAAAGATTTTACACAATATTTTTATTTTTCTCTCATGGGACCAATAAAACTCAGGAAATACAAAAAAAAAAAAAAAACTAACTGATCAAAGCAGAGGTTATTTAACAGTGAGGCTTTCTCTACCCTCTGGAGCTGCGAATATATTGACTGACAGTAGTCATTACAGCATAAATGCTTGCAAAATTGCACTCTCAACTGTAGTTGGATGCAATGAACACAGAAATATAGATGTCCATACCTGATCATACTTGTTGGTCATTTGTATTACTATTGCAGTATTTAACAATCATTTTGCAGTTTAATGTTTGCCTGATATTATTCAATTATTCAGCTTACCATACATAGCGTCAAGATAAAACTTTCTTTTCTTCCAGTTTTTTTTGTTTTGTTACTCTAACTGTAACTGAGGGATCATGTTCCCCTTGCCAAGATAGATATGTATGTTTTCCATTTGAATAAAGCGATTAGAGGTATCAAGTAACAAAGTACAAATACTCTATCTTACACAAATTTCTATTTCTACTCCTTACATTTTGTAGCAATTATCTCTAATTTCTACATCTTACATTAAAAAAATAAACTTGTTAGTCTTGTTTCATTTAAGCTCATTATCATTATGCCCTGTTGGTATCTAAAAAAAAAAAAGAAGAAATTTCTTTTATCCAGACAATTGATTTCTTTATGGTTGGACTCAGTACTGCACCAAGTTGTTCACAACATACTAAAATAAATAGTTTTTCAAGATGATGCAAAGTTAAATTTAACACCGTTGCCATTAGTTATAAAACTATGAAACCTAAGTGTAAGGAAGTTATCATCCAGAAAGAAAAATGTTCCTTTCATAAGCGAGTGCAGTAAAGCATCAGTTATTAAAATTTTCTTACTTTACTTCTATTCTTTAGTTTTAAAAATGGTACTTTTACACTTTTATTTGAGTAAAAAGCTTAAGTTTACTCTAACTTCTATAAAAACTTTTTTTTAATAGCAGGATTCATATTCCTACTTGAGTAATAAATATTACTGGTAATACTTTTGACACCTCTGCGAGCGTTTAGCTTTCTGTTAATTCAATATATCTTGTTACAAAGTAAAAAATTCATGGTAGCCTTATCAATTTCACAGTTAATCACAGGTAACGTACCCCAGCCAAAAGGATGAACCTTTTAAGTATTAGTGTTATTTCAAATCTTTAAAAATCTCTTCAATCATGAAGAGCACTGTGAATGACTCCAAATAAACTGATATTATAAAGTGATTAATTTGTCAAGAAATATTTTTTCATAAGAGGCAGAAGTTTTTCTAAACAGATTTGAATGTGCTTTCCCTTATATTGTTAAGTGCTTGCCCTAATTAACTATACTATGTACCAAAGTGAGGGAACTACTATAACACAGATCTTTGTTGGCCCCAGGGGACCTGTGTTTCTGACTGAGAGAGGAAACAATGTACACGAAGAGATAAAACACTCATGGCGCTCAGCCTTTCCATTGTACCACAGCACAATTACTGCCATAAACTTTAAATAAATAATAACCTGTATAAACAAATCACAGTGAGGCTTTATAAATAAATGCAGCTGCCCCATAAGGACAAACTGTAATGGCTTTGTAGTTTTAGATCTTGTGCTTAAGGCAGACTGTCTCTGCTCCATTCTCACGAAAAAACAACAACACTTAGGGCCCATAAGACAGTGTTTTAACATGGCACATAAACCTTTAAATATATATCAGCACAAATTCTTGGTAAACTGAAGGTTAACTACAAGAAAATAAGCTGTTCATATGTGTTCAATAGGAAGATTATTGTTCTTTCTATGATAAAAGAAAACAAAAGACAACATGAAAGAAAAAAACATCTCAAGAGATTCCTTATATTTACTTACTAGGGAGTTAATAATAGTTGCAGTACTGGAAGCAATCTTATTAAGTGTAACAAGCCAGGCACAAAACACATAGTTCTTCTATCTGTAGCTGTCAGCTGTAATCCTATTAGTTAATAACAAACGTGCGTGGGCTGTTAATGACAGCTACAAAACCTTCACTCTTTGCCATGATGCTTTGCTTATATGGCCTCATGAGTGCAATCGCCCAAAGGTCCAGATTGCAACAAAGACAGGTTAAGCAAAAGAACAAATAATAAATAAGTTAAAAGAGGAAAAAATTCAAGAAATATTTAGAAAAATGGAAGAAATGAAAGAGATTAAATAAGAAAGATACAAAAGGAAGAACTATAAACCACTAGCAGAAAAATAAATAAAATTACCAAGGAAACAGATTTTGCTAAAGTAATAATGCTATCTATCCAACCGTCCATCCAGCCATCAGTGGGTCTCAGGTGTTAAAACGGGGAGTAAACCAAAGGAACCCCTCTTCTCATCTACATGCTCCAACCCATTCAAAGGTATCACAGAGGGGTATATTAAGTCCCTTTAGCAATTTCTAGCTCTGTCCTGATTCCACCCTCATCAAAGGAGGATACTGCTACTTTAAACTTCTCTGCTTGTCATGGCCGAGTCCAATATTTCATTTTTCTGGTAATGAGCCATACATCATGGATTACAATTGGAACAACAAATTTACTATTAAATCTGAAGTTAAATTTTTTGGGGGTCTCAGATCTTCCTTAACCACAGTAGAAAGACGGTCTTTTTAAGGCAAAATGTATTTTTAAACAAGAAAGAGAAATGTATTGTTTTCAGTTAGTGAACCATAGACTTAGATTTGAAGGAGCTGACTTCAGTTGGATCACAACTGTAAAATAGTGGAGGGATTTGTGTGTCCGCTATGATCCTGAGTGCTATGTTGTTCCAGGGCAGGGATTCCCAAAGTGGGGTGCACGAGCTAACCTGGCATAAGCCAGATTGATATCCTGTAGAAAACAAATTGAACTACAATATTTTTGAGAGTTTGTAAATTCATAAATCTTGCAACATTTCCTCTTGCTTGCAAGGTAAGCCAATAGGGGGTGTGTGAGATAAAAAAAAATAAGGTATGGAGGTCTGATGATTACGATTACATTTTTTTCCTGACAATACAAAGACGTGTAAACAAATATACCCTTTGTAAAAGATTTAATTCATATTGTAATTTTGATAAATAAGCAATTAACTCACAGGAAATTTTTATTTATTTAGAAAAAGTATTTTTCTATGCTTCATTTTCCAATGTATTATAGAGAAAGTTAACCTTCTACAGATTGTAGTATGCAGTTAGTCAGTGGCCTCTACTTTAAACAAACAGCGCTGCCCGTACTGGACTGGCTGAAAATGATGACCTCAATGCTACAGGGAAAATTGGAGGTAGACGCGATTCCCTAACTGTGCTCACGCACGGAGCTGTAATGTTTTTCATTGGCTAATCTGATTCACATCGGTGCAGTTCATTTTAAAGATGCAGTCCATATTCAAACAGGAACAAGGAAAATGTGGAGGAGCTGAGATGCGTTTCCAAGGGCATGTCCATCTACTGCATGTAACCACTTGGAAACAATCAGGAAATAACTTTTTATTTATCTGATTGATAACAGCTTTATCAAGGCCGGCACTATCTCTCTACCAAAGTTCTCTCTCTCTCCTCTTCGGACACAAATCAAGTTAAACTTCTTAGTGTTTCTATTTTGCGAAGTAAATTGTGGGTCAGATTTAGACTGAGAAGCTGGAACATGAAATAAACAATGTTTGTTTTTAGAAGGCATGGGGGATTGTGGGTGCTAGAAGCCGGTAGGGACAAAGAAGGGGGATGCATAGCTAAAAAAGGTTGGAAACCGTTGTTCTATGCTAAGACTCCTAGTCGGGTCTTTCAAGGCAACCTTGCCTCAGGGAAACAGTCAGATTTAACAAAAGCTGGGCCAAGGCTGCTGGCAAAGCTCAGGAGACCATAAGACCTGTGGGGAAGCTCCCAGGAAAGTGCCTGGTGGCTTTTGAGGCTCGACTGAGCTTATCCAGGAACAAATAACAGGAAACCACTTTAAATAGGCACAGAGAGGGACCTAGAGGCACAATCAGTTCTCCTGATCACCCATAATACCCTGATTGGATGTCGTTATCCTTATAATGAGATTCAGATGGCCTAAAACAATATCTGAATGGACATTGAGATAATAAAAAAATGTAAAAAAAGTAAAATAAGACAAAATCTAAACATGCATCAAAGTTTAGTGGTTGGCTTGCGCAAGTGGTAACTCCTGGAGACAGAAAGCCTGCATTCGTATCCCGGCTGGGGGGAATGAGCTGCCAGTGTGGGTCCTTAGGCAAGATCATTCACGCTAATGCCTGCTTTGGGAAAAGGTGGCCTAGTGGTTAGGTCATCCTGAGGTTCTGAGTTTAAGACCCAATACCTTTAACCCCCACACTGCTCCCTGGGCGCTGCACAATGGCAGCCCTCTGTTCCCCAAGGGGATGGGTTAAATGCAGAGAGTTAATTTCGTTGCTCTGCACTTTGGACAGTGTAATAAAATAAAACACTGGGAAAAAAAAGAATTTTAGCATTTAAAGCAACTATTAATTGAAATATGCAGGTAACATGAGAAATAAACAGTTTAGAAATTAAAAATCCATGGACACAAAAAGGGATTAGGAGTATTAAGTGGTAAAGGTGCTTAGCGTGGAGAACCCTGTTTATAATTCAATCAGTCACCTGATTTCTAAAGGAGTCGTTCTTGACCGGATCCTCAGCTGCCAGACTGATGCTGCTGAGCAGGATGAAGAACAGGATGAGGTTGGTGAAGATGTTGTGGTTGACGATCTTGTGGCAAAAAACCCTGAATCTGTGAGATAAAAAAAAAAATGGAAAAAAAACAAACAAATTAGACCACAGAACTAAATGAAGAAGATAAAAAGAAAACAAATGAACGGCAGTTACTGATTAGTGTGGCTGAAGATGAAGAAGGCGCGGGCCTCTGGCATTGGAACAGCCTTCTCTTTTAGGTGGATATCAGAGAGTGGCCGTGGCCTCGGGCCTACCGGCATCTCCGGCTCATCCTCATCCTCATCTCCTGATGGGGTCGGGAAGATAGCAGAGTGAGAGAAGATATGAGATAAAACAAATAGGAGAAAAGAACAAGGGTGTTAAAAGATAGTGGTGGTAATATTCTATGTTAGAAAATGAAAACTTGACCCTAAACTATTATTATCAGTTTAGAAAGACCTGTGTAGCTGTTCTCACTGTGCACTTTACCTATGTAATCATTTGCAGGATATGGATTCTTCTCTTCATTTTCCTCTCCGCAACAGTCATCCATGTTAATCTGCAAAAGGCAGAACGATTTAGTCATAGGTTACTGTTTGCTCAGACCAAAATCTGTTGCTTCAGTGCTTGTTTTTTATTTTAATAAGTACCTTTGTGGCAGTGTTAGTCTCTCCATCAGAAGTGATAGACTTCAGTTCAATCTTCTCACTCTTCTTTTCCTCTATTGGTGGCTTCTCGTTTTCCTGACGCTTCTCTGGACTGGCGAGCCTGATAAAGAAACAGCATCTTACCTTCTCTCCTGATTTTAACTTTATTTTCTCCCTGTTAAATCACAGATTTGCATTTGTTCACTTCAGAACAATGAGATTGAGGACAAGACAATGGGGCACAAAAGTAACCTGAGCTGAAATGATCGTAGACAGATATATTCATGTTTTCCAATATCCTGATAATGCATTACAATGAAAAATAGTCTTGGAATATCTATAGGTGAAATCTATGAAATTATCTGCTTTTTCTGTTAATATGTTTGGAAAAACAACTGCGCCAGCATCTTTAGAACTAGGTGTTTGTGGCTTCACCTTATTGTAGAATGAATCATTGATTGTGTGCTGAGCAGCTGTCAAGTTGCTAATTTCCCTCATGATTATGCATGCACCAATATTCCTGTATTTTTTAGATTTGTCTTTCAAAATATTAACATTGCCAGAGAAACAGAATTTTTGCTTTTCGTTGGCCGTAATCTGATATCACCAAAATGCTTAAAAATGCACCCTGTGTAATTAATCTGTATAATAAATAAGCTTTTCATAATTATTGCTGAAATTCTCTTTAAGGGGCACTGAGATCTTAAACTACTTTATAATGAATATATGTTTTAGAGCAGCAACAACAGTTGCAACATGCCAGATTTTCAAAAAGGTTTTCTCTCTCTGAAATACTTCTTGCTTTGTTTCTACTTTCAGTTGCTGCTCTCTTTTAGTTTCCCAGTTTTCTCGGTCTTACCTTGCCAGCTTTTTCCTCTCCTTTGCCTCCTCCTCTTCTTTCTGAGCTGATGTCAGACTCTCAGCATCTGCTAGATTGTCAACAGCGATGGCCAAGAAGACATTCAGTAGGATGTCTATTCAGAGGAGTAATGTAAGAAATATAAACCTGATAGATGAGATTGTGCAGCGGGCGAGACAGGTGCAAATCTTGTGAAAATGCAGTGATACACACAATTTGTTTTTAAACAAATGTATTCTGGGCAGAAGACAGTTTCTCCACTCGTTTTAGATTTAGCTTGAAATGTTTGTCTTTCCGTTGCATTTCTGGTGTAGTCTGCTGACAGAAAAGGATACAGTTTCCGCAGATGAAGAGGATGATAAAGTAGATGCAGACCAGCATGCCAGGAAAAGATGGGCCGCCGTACGCCATGATGCCATCATACATAACAGAGTTCCAGTCTTCTCCTGTCAGAATCTGCGAGGAAAGATAATAAAAAAAAGCTTTGTGTGGTTCTGCATCAAGAATATATAAATCATCTTCAAAAGACGAGGCAATATGGAGACCAGTATGACCCTGAAAGAAATTACAGTATTGTAACCTGAAACACAGTGAGCAAAGACTGCGGGAAGTTGTCAAAGGTGCTGCGTCGGGTGTCGTCAAAGTTGAATTTCCCCCCAAAGAGCTGCATGCCCAACAGGGAGAAGATAATGATGAAGAGAAAGAGCAGAAGTAGCAGGGAGGCGATGGAGCGAACTGAGTTGAGTAGTGAGGCCACGAGGTTGGAGAGAGAGTTCCAATATCTATAGGAAAGGAAAAACAGAGATCCAAATGAATAGCGCTTCAATTTACATCTATTTTATATTTTTACTTGAGAGATGCCAGGCTGGATTATTTTTAGCCTGTTACTAAATTAAAATTAGGATCAATGCTGTAAAGTTGATAATAACCTTGTTATTTTAAATATTCTTAAAAGGCGCACACAGCGTAACACCGAGATGCCAAGAGGAGACATGATCTTTGTTTCAACTAGAATGGTTTCTAGTATTCCTCCACATACTACGAAGCTGTCAAACCGGTTGAAGAGCGACACAAAGTACGCCTGCGGGGGGAAAGAAAAGTTCAGTTTGCAGAAGTTGTATCACGAACAAAGACATTTATACAAATTTTCACATTACAATCAAAAACCTCAGTTTATTTATTTATTTTTTAACTAGACGAGGGGTCTCAAACCTGTGGTGCCAGAGGCATATCTAGGTCTTAAGGCGTTTAACATTTGGTCTTTACTTTGTAGAAGAAAAGAAAAGTTTAAAAAAAAAAACCAATGTAACAAAATTGCAAAGAGGAAGGAAAAAGTTTATTTCTGTGATAAATAACACCTAAAGGAACAATAGAATTTGTTTTAAAAAAAGGAAAAGGCCATTGTCACTCACACGCCACAATGTAGTATAATGTTGGCAGGTGTGATGAGACCCAAACTGAATTTTCTGCTCTATTTGTAAAAACTGAGACGAAAGGGCTTTAGACTGAGACAGAGATTTAGCGGGATGACCTTTAACGTTCAGCCAGAGCTTCAACTGAATAGCTGCTGTTAAAACTATGTTAGCACAAAATCCAGTCCAAGTCAGACCTAAACCAGTGAAGAAAGGTTTGCATTCAGTGTGTGTTTCCCAGTTGGATAGAGCTTAAGCAATGCAACCCTTAAGGATGCAAAAATGTAAATATCTAGATGTACAAAACACAACCTAACACACTGTAACTACAAACAAAAGGGGATTTAAAGTGCCAACTCGATGGCTAAATTGAAATACACAACAGACATTTCAAATGTAATTTTTAAAAGCATATATATTTTCCTTCCACTGTAGTTATGCACTTATTTTTGACAATCTAATTCCATAAAAAAAAAAAACATAGAAGTTTATGATTGTAACTTATTGCTACCACTTACCTGTAAGCCAAGACTGTACATCTTTAGCAGCATCTCACCCGTGAAGAGTGCTAACAATACTTTGTTTGCTATATCTGCAGAGACAGGGAAACATATAGGAAGATGAAAGGAAGTAAGGAAAATGTAAAAAAAAAGACTTTCTTAATATTATTCCAATGCACTATTGCATGTAATCTGTACATTGTGTGCAATGTACCTTGTACGTCTGTTAGCCACTGCGGTTGCTTGTGATGTTCAGAAGCGATGGTCAGGGTGTTGAGAAAAACCAAGAAGATGACGAGCCAATAGAAAACCTGGGACTTGACTGCTGCTCGACACTTTCGCCTACACAACCTGTTCCACCTCCGAGAGTAGCGACTGAGAAGGGCAGATGGAAAGGTGAGGAGAGATAGGAGAGGGTTGAAACAGAGAAAACATGTTGGAAAGTATAGGTCAGGGAGTTTGAAGAAAGACATGGAGATGGAGATGAAAACAGAAAAAGAAAGAGCAAAAGGTGGAAACATGGAACCAGGTGATGGGAAACATGTAGCCAATGAGGAAATAAGGAACAACCCCGCAATGGATATAGAAGGAAAGACAGTCAGTGGTGGAGAAAGGGGAAGAAGAGGAAAAAGTTAATTGGTCGGTGCACAGAGTCGAGGTGACCTCAGCCCTATATCCTGTGGCCATCTGTTGTCTTAAAGCAGAGGTGTTCAACAGTTAGTCATTATAAAACTTGCTTCAAACTAGAAGCATGAAACAGAGCTCTGTTGCAGAGACATGCAGAGAAAAGAAGGAAAAGACTAAGATTGTATCCAAACATTGGAAGTAAAATGTGTTTTTTTTTTTTTTTTTTACAAATGGTTCACAATGTATCTTTGACACAATAAAACAACCTAAATGATGTAAAAAATATTTCATCTGTGTGGTTTTGTCAAACAATTCCTCCTCACTTTCTTTCTCTGTCCACCGTAGAAAATGTTTGTTATTGTTTCTGGTAATTGCTAGCTTCACGCCTCACAAACAATTTACTCCACTCCCCACACAAAGGGTCGCGCACGGGTCATTTAACATCTCCTCCCATGTAGGAACAATTTTCCACAATAATTTCATAATTGTCCTGTTCTGAGTAAGTGACATAAAACAAGTGAGGGCAACACAAGGTTATTTATTCTGGTTGTGCAGTAGTGAATGATAAATCAAACAGCATGGTTTCATCAGAATTCATTGGTCAAACAAGTATGTATGAAATGGTCTCTACAATTACAGTATAGTGTACTTGTATGGATACCTTAACATCACAAAAGCCTCAACATAAAGAACACTATACTGCTAAGATTTTTTGGCTTACTTTCAAAGGTTGTGTTATTTAATCACACTTTTCTTGTGGTAATAGGGGGCCCATTTTCCTGCCCTACTTTTTGTGGTATATATTCAAAAAGGTGATTGAAACATTCCCTTAGAGATTTTGGATGTTACTGACTCAATAACATCCTGCAATTGCATCCAAGTAGAAAATCCCAAAGGTGCTCTATTGTGTTCAATCCACTGGAGAACCGTGAACTCATTGTAAATCCTCAAGAAACCAGTTTGAGATGAACCATGCTAAGTCAAGTCCCTTATATCTCCTTTTTGATGCTTAGTTTGAGCTTAAGCAAATCCTCTTTATCACATCTATATAACAATTATGTCTATCTTGACTTATAGTTTAAGCGAAAAGAAGACGATGAACTGTTTTGCATGTAAAAAGGTCTTTGAATACTGTGTGCTCGACATATTTCATAATAAACGGTCACATGTGATTTTGACAGCTTTCTGTTCAGGTTTAAAGTAAATCTGCAACTAACGATTATTTTGCAAAATCGAATAATCTGTTGATTATTTTCTTGATTAATTGTTTAATAAGCAGCTAGCCAAAGGTTGTTTAAAGAATATTTGTTATTAAATTAAACCAGGTGAAAATAAAACTTTTCCACTTGAGGAGTTCGGGATAGCGCATTATGACAGACAAGAACGTTTTTTTTTATCTTAAATACAAAATGTGTATATATATATATATATATATATATATATATATATA